GAATTAATACTTGTGTGTATTCGTATAAAACTTTATCGTGATTCGTGTTCGTTCGCATTCGCAAAGAGAGGTGCCCGTTCGTTCGTGTTCGTTCGTCGAAAAATTTTCCTATTCGTGTTCGTTCTTATTCGTTAAGAACACGAACGAACACGAATATGTATGTTCGTACACATCTCTGGAACACACTGTGTATTTTTATTGTTTCAATAAAGCAACAATTATTATTATTATTAACAACGAAAATTACCAATAAAGCATCTTCATTTATAGTGTAATAAATATTTCCATACACGCTCAATCATAATCGTACATTGTTCATCATAACAACAAAAAAGGCAGTTCATTTAACATTCCCGATTTTATAACCATTATATCATAATTGCAAATGTACCGCACTAAACTGAACTTATCACAAAAATTCATTGTTGAACATTAGTTGGCCAGTCGATTAAAAACTGCAAGTGTAAATTTACCGATATTTACCGTGTTTAAAAGCAAAGATTGCACATCGTATCGTATTGTTTCAGTACTAACGATTACATAGCCGCAAGGATCGAATTGCAGTAGGTCGAAAAAACTACGCTTCCCTTCACCTGCTATTATTTTCCTTTTACATTTGCAGCACAAGAACATCTAAGGCTAGAACTGAACTGCTTTTTTTAAATGTTTGTGTGGTAAAAATGTTTTCCTGTGTCATTTTTTCATCAAAAAATTTCTGGAGCACCTTAAAATTATTGAAAGATCTAAAGACTCTTGTTGAAAAATTCAATGTAGAAAATTATCCAATATGCTTAACAGCAGCAGTGACAAAGCGATCAATTAAACGAAACGGTGTTTTAAAGAGAAAGAAGAGATAATTATTTGTTGAACAAAAGCAAATGTTTCTGCAGCCAGTAGACCGTGATTGAAATGATTATGCAAATCGAAAAATGATCAAGTGGAACGAGAATTGAAATAAAGTGCAAAACGTTTTGAAAGTAGCGAATGTCATATTTACAAACAATACCGCACGATTGAAAATCTAATTAAAAAAAAAAAACATCATTTAAAAAATAATATAGAACACAAGAGTTCTGTGTGTTCGAAAAATAGATGATCGAAAATAGGTTTGACATCTGCCGGATGAACTTGAAAAATATTGATTGAAATAAATTACAGCACTTTCTGTTCATAATAACATTTTATCTTCATTTTGAGATCACAATTATTTAATAAACGTTGTATCACCTTGACATTTACATAATATTCGTTCATCGAGTCCATCCTAAATGCCGGTAATTTTGCATAATATTCAGTTATCAGAACTCAATGAAAACATTTTCTGGCGCTTTCATATGCAATTGCTGTGGATGCGATTTTATAGCATGTGTATGTGTGGTGTGTCTGTGGGGATTGAATTATTGGCGGAAAAGATGTTGATATTTAAAGAAGCAGAAAACGATGTTTAAACAGAGAAAATTGTTAACAGATCGTTCTCATTTAGTAAAATAGTAAGTAATTGTGCAGTCGTTTTGATGAATAGAACGGAAGAAACAACAAAATGAAAATAACGGGCTCGCAGAACAACAAACAATATATGCTATTGGTCTATTTTATTGGAACGATGAGAAAAGAAAATGCAAACAAATCTAAATGCTCATTTTCCAATGTGTGCATTTGGTAATTGAGCAATGTAACAAAATCGCACAGAGCACGAGAGACAGACACACACACATAGAGAGAGAGAGAATATGCAAAATAGACACAAAACAATGCAGCAAATAGGACAAAATACACTGTGCGCACTGCGTTAGTGCGAAGTGAGAGAGAATAAAATGTGGCCAATTTATTTCGTGCAACAGATGGCAATCAGATTGGAAATCCATACGATCCGGCACATTTTATTCACTGGATTGGTCAAATCTCGCAAAATGTACTGCTAATTGCTCGTTGCTGCTTTAAATTGCATCACCACAATGTTCGTGCTCGACTGATACTTGTTAAATGTTTTCAAACATTCTAACGTTTCTTTCGTACGGATTATTCGGGTCCGGTGGTCAGCTTACGAAATTCAGCCGGTTGTGGTTTTTGGACATATTCGAAGAATTTCAAGCGTGCAATGATATATGAGACATCGCGTACATATAAATAAATGAAATCATTCTCATGCTATACATTTGGATTGCACAAATTTAGCGGTTAAAACAATTGAAGAAGAATCTAAAACAATAACACCAGCATAAAACTCGTTTGGAATTCGTTCGTTTTTCTCGCTTCTTTTCCCATTTGAAATAAAACACACAAAATATGTACCATGTACACACAATTAAATTCCAGTGAATCGATTTAAAAGTGTTACATAAGTTGATAAGATAAACGGTATGTGTTGAATAATATCGCCGAAGAGAAGAGCCAAATGAAAGGCTACCATATGAGGTAAACACGTGCAGAATAATTACATTATTATTACCTTATGAAGAACCGCTTCAATTAAGTACCTGTTCTATTCAACCAGTTGGCAAAAGCTAACGAACGCACTACAGTCGACAAGTGTGTGTTTTGCGAATGCAAAGATTTACATTTATTTTTAATAACAGTTATCACACGACTACATGGCCAAATATGTTGAATAAATGTGTTTGTTTTGAATATTTTTCCAAGAGAGATCAATTCTAGGAGAATGAACCTTGATGGCACTGCCAACAGAATGGTTTACTATTTTTTTAAATGATACTTTAACACTTTGATAACTGTCGCTAAACTTCAAATTGTCACTGTTTCCGATAGTCACAGGCGTTTAATGACTATTGTTTCATTTTTCATGTAAAAGGTTATTTTCTAACAAAAATCACAACTTTTCATTGAAAAATCAATTCAGTCGATTTACAACTTTCTTACAATTATCTTAATCGATCTTTACATTTTAGAACTTTCTACTGTCTATCCAATTCTTTCTCTTTTGCAACACATTTTCAAATTGCTCAGGAAATTTCTCCACTGATTTCCGTTCTACGTGTTTGGCGACAATTGATTCGAAATGGTTCTTGCTAGGGTTTTTGAGCTCGAAAATGTTTATATACTCGCTTAAGTGTCTCGATTTTTGAGCAATTTTAACGCCTTAATATATCGGTGACCTTCATCTCAACGCTTCCATTGCTCTCTTTCTCTTCCTCGCCCTCTCTCTCTCTCTCTCTCTCTCTCTGCGATCTTATAGCTCATTTCTCTCCGTCGAGATGTTTAGTGTTGCGTCAATAAAGAAAGCGCGATGTGATTTTGTTTTATTTGACTCAGTTTGTAGGGCACATAATTGATTTTTACACCAAAAATTATAGTTTTATGTTCGTAATATATTGTTATTACGATGAACTTATTTCCTCAAACGTAATGCTGTCGCTTTTGGAATAAAATTGCGACAAAGCATACGATTTCGAAATGGGGAGATGAAATGATTGAGTGAGTGAGTGAGTGAGTGAGAGAGAGGGAGAGAGGGAGAGAGATCGAGAAAACAGTGCGCTGAAGTGAAACTAGAATGTTTATTTCTGTTTGAAATGCTCTAATGATATTCAAAAGAAATGCGCATGGTTTATATTTTACACTTGAATTAATCCCACGAAATGAAATTGTTTGTTTTGGTCCAAAACATTTTAGGATGGCAATGTGACTGCATAAGACGTGCCAATTTATGACTGACCATGCACAATAACATCTAAAACACAAAGAACCGTTTCGTTGACCTATTCGTAATCTATTGGAATTGGATAACAATCTGTTGGTTATACAATTATTATGATATGATTGTCAATATAAGGTGTGACGCTTGCTATTCTTAGCCACCTAAAAACACAATTAAACAAAACAAATGCGCTCGCATAGTTATCATAGCAACAGACTAAAGCAATTGCACTTATTAGCTCGGTATGCAATTGAATAGCGCATTGTTGTCTCAAATATTTGGCATATAAATTGAGAGAAAATATCGGCATTTGCATTGGTTTCAAAAAAAAAAAAAAAAATACGCGCGCGGCACGAAACTGAAAGAAAATGAAAAAAAAATTTGAATTTAAAGACAATGAGGGGAATTATAAAAAGTGTTCGAGAAAAATTATAAAAATATAGACGACAAAAACACATCGAGTGCAAAAGAAAGTTATTTTTTTTTATACTGTCGTTGCCATTTATGCTGCTGCCAATATGCCATAGAATATCTCTCTTGTGTATGATGAATTACATGCTCGTGGTTGGTGAGAAATGAAATTTCATCGAGTGTGCGTTGGTGTATGCGTACACTCAAGAACAATACACCAGTGACTCAATTTTCATTCGTACGCGCGCATATTTTTCCACACTTGATGCCATGGTTTTTAACTTTATAATGTTTTCATTTTGCCTTTTGGTTCAGCGCACCAGCATCATCATGATTGTTATTATGATCGGCGCGGCAGAACACGTGTAAAAATATGTATTGAGTTTCAATTGATTGTCTGCAAATTGTATGTTTTTAAACCGATGAAATAATGCTACACTTGACTTCTGCCTTCTTCACGTATATTCTGCGCCACATAAGGCACACACACACACACCACTCCTCCCAATTCATACCACATGAACCGAACGCTACACGATACACATTGTTAAACAGTTATACACAGCATATGTACGAAACCAAAGCTGAAATGAAAAAAATTATGAATTGCGCATATCATAATGGTAGTATTATCATCACATGATGGTTTTGAGCTGTAACTATACCAACGCGATGTGATAGGAAAAAAAAAGCGGAAGGCCTACCAAAGCAGCAACGAAGAGAAGAAAAAAAAATCGCGATTTGCTACTAACAAACAACAACAACAAAAAAATCTATAGCAAATACACCGCTGCTGGCTCTCTGTGGCAAGAAAAGTAGATGGAAAAAGAACGAATCGATGGAAAAGAAATGGAAGAAATAGAAGAGAGAGATTTCAAACTATTGTGAGCTCGTATATTTTGTGCGCTGATAGTTGAAGGTATTGTGTCAGTTGAATTTGGACGCTCAACCAAGACAGACGGAAATTTATACGGTGTGAACTTTTTTTTTCGGTAATTTCGAATTCAATTCGTGCAAGACAAAGTATGAATTTAGTGTACGCAAGCAATTAACACTTGGTGTGATTCAATACGCAGGAGCGAAGAAAGGCGAATCGTTTACAATTTAACATGCGTACAATTTGTTTATAGCCCAAATTTCTTTTAAGAAGACACGAAGAAAAGAAATAACGATCGAGTTACGAACTAAGTGTGAAATCGAAGTGGACATCCATCAACACTTCCACGTATGATAACAATTGCTTTCTAATTATGTTGTAATAATTCAATTGGCAAATAGCTCGTGCTGCGTGCTCCAGAATTTTAAATGTTAAATATTGAGTGTAGGTCATTTTTCGTGAGCAAAAGAAGAAGAGAAGAAACGTCACTCGAAAGCGCTTGAATCATCATTCGTTTGCCATCTCTGTCTTGCGAAAATAAACGAATATTGAGCAAAATCAACGATTTTTGCAAATTTACCGTAAATTCAGTAGTTTGTGTTCGCAATGTGTGCGCGCAGTGCGCATAAAACAGTGACGTAAATAGTTCAAACGAGTGGATGGATGCTCGAAATCAGACAACCAAAGAACATTGCGCTTTTCATTGTCAGACATAAAACAACATCGAAAAATATTTAATGCAATTCTAATATAATTATTCGTTTGAATGCATTCACTGCACGCAAACATACCGTCATTAAGAACGTTTTGTGATGTATTCCATGAAACAATTTCATCGAGTGGATGAACGCGAATATTTACTAAAGCGTCTCTTTTTCTCTCTCTTCCCCTATCTCTCTCGCTTTCTCGCTCGTCTAAAGTGAAAATTTGAGCGCACAACTACAATATTTTCTATCATAATTCTTTTCGCGAATTGATCGTTCAACGAGCGTAACACCCAAAACAAAACACAAGAGTCTTGGCTCGTTACACAAATTTCAATTACATATGTTTTCAAATGCAAAACCAAAACGAAAAAATCCTTGAAAATCGCCAATTTCACTACATCTCATTTAAATAGATTGTTGTTGTTTTTTTCTCGCACAGAACCATTGGCGATAAATGTACCGTTTGAGATCATAACTTACGGACATTTACCGATACAACTGTAGATATAACCATAGTATACATGCGACATACACCAATTGAACGTTTTCAACTGTTTATGATCGGTTTATGGGGCTGATTAATGGTGATTGAATAGCAAGATTTTCTTTAAACATTTTAACAACTCTTCAACTATGTAAACATATTTCTTTTATCGCGTTGCTTCGAAAAACCAAAGCAAAAATATAATCGACGAGAATTAGTTATTATTGTCTGACGAAACGAATAAGAAGAGGAAGACGATGATGATGAAAAAAAAACGAAGAAAACAGGATTTCTGGGCGAACAATATAGGTTACTAGTTTGAAACGAAAGAAAATCCATTTCTTTTTTTTCCACCTCACACAACTCGATCATATAGAAATCAATGTGGCAGTGCATTATCATTCATTGGCGGAAGCCTCGTTTCTTCTCTCATTAAAGAAAATTGTTCGGTGTGAAAATGTTGCTAAATTTATTGCTAATTAAAGTCTCATTAGATCGTCTTCAATAGAATGCAATTCCCATAAATCGATTCTATTTTTCTTCGCACCAATCAATGCCATTTATTGATCAGTAAATTAACTTATTTGTTATTGTTACTAACCGTTTTTTCCCTGTTATTTTTCTTTTTCACATCGATTTAGGCATATATACTATTGTTTTCCGACAAATGCAGTGTGTTAAATAAAACCTTTTATTTTTCTTACCACAAACGAAGATTGTACGAGTGATTCGCAGTGACTTGTAAATTGTATTGCAATAAATAATAATTAAAGTGATAACGACGACGGAAAGCAATTACAAACAAGAACAAAATCTGATCCAAAGTAAAGATATTGAGTGCAGAGAAGAAAAAAAAATTAGATAGAAGCAATAGCAGTAGCAGCAGTAGCGACTCGAAAGAAAATTCATAAGAAATCACAGAGTTAAATTAGAATGCCACTGTCTTTGAATCATAACAAAAGTGAATCGAAACGTAACCGTAATTTAAACATGAATGCAAGTGGTGATTTACTGAGAACGATGCAGCTGGTGATTTTGATTTTTATTTCAACGGTGAGTACACTTTTGATCGCCTCTCATTACGATATGATGTGCGAACAAACACATCAACATCATAAGTTGGATAAATAGAAAAACTTCATTTGAATTTTTCTCCGTTGAAAATGCAAGGTGCATAATCATTTATATTATCGTTTGGATATAATGAGGAATCGGACGCATGACGTAATTGAATTTGATGACTTCATGGAACTTCCCATATTGTGAAATGAAAATAAAATAAATCTGTGCGGCAAGAATATCATGCATTATTCATATAAAATCATAATTAAATTAAACCGCTGCAAATTCTGCGTTTTTTTTTTCGAAGAAATAACTAACGCACGCATGATGAGGATAACTCTTTTTTTGATATTCTAAACAAAGATATATACGCATACAATAGATGCTCTAAATACCATTCTTTTGTTCGGTTCTTTCAAAAGAAGCGTAGGCAAACAACAAATAAACCAAACGGATTTAGAATTGATTTCATTTAAATTTACCACTTCATTTGCGCATTGGCATTCGGAAAGCCGCTTTTCGGTTTGTTTGTATTTACAATAAATATAATTTATGTCTGGAGGCAACAAAATAATTGCCATAATTTCGTCGGAAACGGGTGTGCTGCTGTTTTTTTTTTCTTCTTCTATGTCGAATTTTGCGTTTTGTGGCATTTTCAAAGGAAAAGTGAAATAATTTTCACCATTCATATATACTCATCGCTCATTTCACGCACTTTTGAATTCAATGTACTTAACTAATAAGCCACCAAAAAACTCGATGATTCTCTTTCAAAGCCAACTGAAGAAGCTGAAGAAAACATCGCTCTTGCCGAAATAAAAATGAAAACACACAATTAAACTTTCCAAAGAAATGATTCTGGAATTGTATATATGCTGTGGCATGCTTTTCCCTTCAATTGTCTCCGACTGTGTGTCGATTCATATGTGTACAATTATTTATTTTCTCATTTCAAATAAAAAAAAGTCAAATTACTCGATATAAAACTATCTCATGCGAATGGTTCATTTTTTTTGTCTATGACTTCGTTCGCTCTCTTTCTCTCCTTTCTGTTTGAGTGAATTTTTTTTTTTCAACATTTTCGGCCAAAAATTTCAAACCTCTCTTTCTCTATCCCTCTCTTGATCGCAGTGCACGCGTTTCTTTTGTTTTGACCCAGAAATGGTTTGACAGTAAATAATTATAGAAAATTACTATAAATATTTATATGTGGAACAAATGCCGAATTCCACAATTCTACTTATGAGCGAAGAGAGAGTGTCAAAGATATGAAAAATGAAATTGAAAAAAACGAGGTTCTTTTGAAAAATTTTGATTATAAAATCACTTTTCATCGATTTAAAGCCCGAAGATAACAAACTGTGAATTGGTTTGGTTGTGTGGAAGCTTCTTTTATGCTTTTGGCAAAATCTTATTTCTTCCGGTTAGCGCAAGTGTAATGACTAATTCGGTATTGGATACACAGTTGGTACAGCTTCCCGGTCAGACAATTTACTGTTTGAGTGCAGATTTTAAGCATGATTACACACCATATAATTAAATTTCAATTTGAACGAATTCGCCTTGATGGATTGCGAATTGTCGACAATTTACAATTAGATTCAATTGCTTTCTGGGTTTCTTAGAGCGTCATCATTTACCTGTCGATTGATTAATCACTTTAATTCAAATCGATAATGCAATGTCAATTAGAAAGGTGGCACAAAAGTGGTAGTGTACCAACATTTATGATCAAAGCTCGATTCGCTAAAGCATCGAAATTATCTTTTCATTAACAAAAAAAAGAAGTAAAAGAAAACTGTTTCGACGAAGATGAAGAAAAAGAACATTCAAAATTACTTTTCTTCCAGAAAATTTATCATTTTCAATTTTTTCAAGAAGTGTACAGTTCAATAGCTTCAAAGTAGATAAAAAAAAAAACAAAAATTCCAAGCCACAATGGTCACAGAATAAGAAGTAGAAGAAGCAAGTGCAAATGACCCTTGCATGACCAAAACAAATTAATTCGAGTGCAATGTTTAAAAATAGTTCTGGTTGATTTAAAATGCGTCGCTGTACTTGTTCTTTTGTACGAAAAAAATATGAATAAATAACAAAAAAAAATCCGGTCATTATAACATAGTACCGTAATTTTCAACGCACCTGCAGTTATTTTCGTGTATTTGAAAAAATTGTCCGGCTCGCGTTCCAGAACGATCAAAGTGAAAAGTGTTGATATGATATAGAGCGAGCACAGTTATTCTCTCACACGTTACATAATATAATAAATTTTGATGGATTCGACGTTGTTTACACATCATGTAATTACCGCGGCTAACAAGACATTGATAAACAACAAAAAAAAACGACAAAACCCGGGTATTTTTCATAAAGATCATAAAGAACACCGAAATTAAAACGAATTTCGTTCCGAGAATGGCTAGTTTTTTTTTCTCCGTAAATTCGGTGTGAAGAGGAAGGAAACGAAGTGTAGACATTAAAACATGGGCATTTTTGGTAGCGGTACTTAGCATTTAAGTGTAACACAATCCGCTGAAGAAAGTAAACATAAAATATAGTATAAAGAAGCATGGGGTATGAAGAGAGAGAGAGAAAAATATCACTCATAAAGTTCCAGTTACAGCAAACAAGTATGCGCCGCAAAAGCCACAAAACAAAGATAACACACAACATTTCAAAATTATACTTTAACGCTTAATCACATACAATAAGCAACATCGTTGAACGAATTCATCGGTGTATTATTGCCTTTTTCTTCTCATTCATCTTCATCATTGCGCCGTTTCTCGCATTCGTAAACGACGATGACCAGACAATCAACGTAGTAAAAACGTCTCCATACAATGTTCTCTAAATGAGCTGTTTGCTTTGATTTTAATTACGCTTTTGAATTGAACTGTTGTTTTTCCTCAACTAAAAAGAGTGTTGTTGTTTTCTTTTACCGGCCATTATCTAACTGCTATTCTAACGCCATTACCCATTTGTGTATCGTTCCAATGAAAAAGAGAGAAGAAATGAATGAGCTGTAACAACCAGACGTTTAATTTTTTTTCTCTTCTTTGTTATTTCGCATTTTATTTTTACGCATTTGAACAGCTGTTGGTGAACCCACACCGGGAGACTTTTTTTTTAAGTCGAAATGTTGATCTTTTATTGAATATGCTTTTGACGGGAACTGATGGTATCATGTAAATTTGTTGTGACATTTAACTAACACCTCTATTTACATCTCGTCAGCTTCGTTGGTTACCGGAAAATGTTCACACTCTTTAAACACAAATTGTCTATAGTTTCAACTAAAAATATTGTTTGTCTTTAATTTTACCAAAAAGTCTTGGAATTCTCGGAGACGTGAATGGCTTCGGATGCGGAAATTTTTCATTAATCTGAAGACATTTTGAAGGCACTTAACCTAATTACAAAAGGGCGATTTGTCACTTTTGTATGTGTTTTTTGAATTTTAAGCACCATTTTCACACAGAATAACCTATTTTTGTACGAAAATCGACGTTTATCTCACATTGGAACAACTCATTAAACGGTATCTTGTATTTTAAATGATTTATCCAGAATAATGTTGGCATGAATTATGTTACGGTTGGCATTTCTATTCGCTGCACCCATAAGAAATTGCTCAATTCAAAACAACAATAAATTAAATTCGTTACGTTAACCGTATACCTGACTGTTATGATGTCATAAGACAAATACGCACTGATTTCGCGGAAAATTTCTTGGTACACTTTTGAAAAACATCACAAAAAAGGGAACAACACCGAATTGTTCTTCTCGTCTAAATCATTTGTCAAGTGACACGTACGTCGAGGCCCATTTCAAGATTCAGATTGAGTTAATTAAATAGTTGAATTACGAAAATACGTTTTATTGTGTCAAATACGAATTTAGCAACATTTCATTCTATTTGCGTTTGTCTACTTCATTCTAGAAAATTTTAGTTTTCTTATTTTGAGAAATTCGATGCAGTTCTCATTTAATTAAAAAAAACTTGCGTTTTAAAGAAAAGATTTTCTATTGAATATTGAAAAGATTATTCTATTTTAAATAGAAGTTTTTTGCAACGTTTTTACTAGCCTATGTATTAAATACATTGAATAAGCTTGGCCACATGAAAAAAAAGTTCATTGCCTCAATGCATTTTACCATAAATATTTTCTTGGATGTACATAAAAAACGAGTGACAACATACAGCACATACAGCAACAAAACACCCAACTGTTTCGCTTCGAATAGAAATGGTCAACGATCCATGCGGATGAATTGGTTTTGCTTTCTTATTTACATAGATCATAGACAATATTACCGCTAGAATCGAATGCGCCTGCTTATACAATGTTGATGCCAATTAGTCATTTTTTTCTCACGAACAAAAAATTAAAAACTTTCATTCTGGCAGAATGAAAAATTGAAAATATTTCACGCTTCGATAAACCTCAAACATTTCAAAATCGTTTCCATCATCGCATGTTAATGACCTGTGCGATTTTCTGCCTTGTCAAAAACATGGACATTCTGCAATACAAACACGAAGAACCGCAAAGGCATTTGCTATGCCGATTGCGAATAACAGTATCAAATTAGTGTTTTTTTAACATGCGAATGTCATAAAGCCCGTGTGAATTAAGATATTGTCCGGTGGGAGACGAAATATCGCGTCACATTTCAAACAACAATTCCATTTTTGTTCAAAATTTGTGGAAGAAAATGGCAATGGACATCTTTGTTGGATCTTTCTACATTGAATTTGTTTCGCAGTTAATTAGAGGTACTTCCTCGTCTCACTTTAAACTATTTCATGATGAAGAATAACATAAATTATGATGGTTGTAGAAAGTCAAGCATTGATATAATTCTAGCGGCGATACACTTTGGTTCAATCAATTCATCAATCATCTTTCATATTGTGCGAAATATTAAATAGAACTCACTCAATTACAATATTGCTGGCTAATTTAGAACTTTTCGTAATGCACAGCACAACACCATTATATATTTCAATGGGAATCATGACAACAATGGATTTGAAAAATCAAAACATAATTCACATATATGATTAATTGATGAAGAAGAAATTGCCTATACTAAAAAAAATCTTCTGTCTTTGTATAGGTGTTGCCACTTTCAACTACAGCCCAAGATTATGACGGTAAGTTTTGCACTTGTTGAATGATGGAAAAGAATATTCGTTCAAGTCACTTTCGATACTAATTAGATCATTTACTATTTTAAAAAAATTCCATCAAGTGAGCGAAATCCAATGTTCATTTGCAACCACCACTTCAAGTACAGCCGACATGATAACGGCACGATTAAAGAAACCGGTCGGTTTTAAAGGTTCACCATTATTTGCTGATGATCGTGGCGTGAATCCAGAGATAGACAGGGCATGTTCGATACGACCCGAAACTGGTGATCCGGAAAATATTGCATATGTACTGAAAATAACCGATCTCTCACGGTGCGGCGTACTCAAACGCAATGTAAGTGGTGGATAACATCTTAGATTTATCTGATTTCCCTCGGACTTACATAAAATAAAACACATTTCTTCTAGGGCTTTGTTCATGTACGAATCTGGTTCCCACAATTTCCCGGCGTAGTAATGCAGAGCGATCAAGAGCTTATTATTATGTGTAAGCCACCAGAGCCAACCGTCATCCAAAATAAGGCGGCCGGGTTTGCTGGATCATTTCCCGGCGGTGCTCGCGTTTCAGGTAATTATTAACGAAAATGTTTAAGAAAAAAACACACGCAAAAGAACGGAAATAAAAAAATGATCTATAAACATAATTTTATAATTTTGGAGAAAGTTTTCATTTCAATGTTACAAAGAATATTTCATAAAATGTATGTCAATTTATTATTTCATTCAAAAGGTGTGGTGGAAGAGACTCCAGGTCGATTGGAATACGAAGTGGCTTTGTATAAAGAAGCACCGCCAATCGGCAGAATAAATAGCAATATGGCAATGAGCGCCCATTTGAAAAATCAAACAAAACAACAACAAGCCATTATTAACCAAAATGAATTGCCGGTAGATCAAGCCGTACCTATTGGAACAAAATTGCAATTACGCGCTCGAATTAGTACACAGAGTGTATGGAAGTTTGTTAAATTAATGGAAGTCACAGTGAGTTTTGTGATTTATTTTCAACTATTTGTTTCTTGTTTTTTGGTTTTTCTTCATTTTTTAATCATTTTTATATTTGTTGCAATCATTTATTGTAGGTTTCACCCGATCCAGATGATCCACATGCGTCCGGTTCAGTCGCATTAGTTCGAGAAGGGTGTAGAAATCGAGATTTTGCTTCAATAATTCCACATCAGGTAAGTGAGAGTAATAAAGCTATTAATTATTTTACGAAAATTCGATTTAAAATTTGGTGATTGATTTAATTTCAGCCTGCGAGGTATCGTGATCGATCGAATGAAGTGTTCCTCGACTTCGAAGCATTTTTGCTCAGTTCAATGCGCGAAAGAAGTACATTATGGATCCACTCACAAGTACGTACAATTCATAGATGAAAACCATTTTTCACATTCTTTTTTTTTATACCTTAATTGTGTAAACAAGCATTATTATTAATAGCACTCACAATAAGAAAACGGTTATTCAAAAAACAAACAATAAATTTCAACGAAATTTCAGATTAAAGCGTGTATGGAGGCCGTCGATTGTCAGCCTGATTTTTGTTTAGACTTATTTGAACCATCTGGTCATGGTAGAAAACGGCGTTCGATAGCCGATCAAAGCGATACAAATCATACAAATGGCATAACGGAATTTGCAAAGTTCAAAGAAAACATTGAATATTCTGTGATGTTACCGGGCGATTATGATCAAATGAAGTATCAAGACAGTGATCAATGCAAGAATTTCATACTTATCTCAGGCCTTTTGGCTCTTTTGTTAACTTTGTCAACGATATTGGTGAGTATGGAAAAAAAAACATCTAAGTAGATGTACAGCAAGACTTTGGCCGTGGGCTTTGTAGCTGTATGCTTTTACATTGCTTTATTTCGTGCTGCTTACGATGTAACGATATACAGTCAAATATATTAAGTAAACATTTAATTTATTTCCCAGCTATTGCAATGTTTTCTTAATACATTCGACAGTATTTCATATTTTGATTTTAAGCAGACGAAATATCGCTGTAATCACTGAAACTACAGCCCATGACAATTATTTGAATAGATTTTTTTTTAGTTTTTGACAATTTTTAATGTTATGATTATTTCTTATTTTATTTGCAGTCTTGTGCGCTTGTTTCGAAAATTCAAAATGTCAGTCGAAAGACCATAGATGATTACGTTCCATCAAAGGGCTATGCTGGTCGTGCGGTGCTTCAATAATACTATAAATGCCTATTAATTTTATCGAATAAGAACGAACAATATGAATTTACAAAATGTTCATACAAATTTATTTTATAAGTATAATTTCATAAAAAGGAAAATTAGCAAAAGAAAAATGCCTGATTAATTTAAATCGATGTGGAAGATGTTTTCCGAAAAATTATAGACTGTAACCCCTTTTTTGCATTTAGAAATGGAACGAAGTATTCATTAGATCTTGTAGCTCTCGTGATTATTTATTTTAGAAAGCATTTATTACATTCATTGCGAAACTATTTCACACTGACATTTTTTAAACAAATAGAAAATCAAACATTTCATCATCAAAATAGAATTTATACTCTAGTTCTAAAAACACAGTAGATTTTAGACTCGTTTTTTTTTTCATTCAAAAATCAAACGAAAACAACTTACAAACATTTTAAATGAATTTCAAATGCGCAAAATAAATGTCGCACAAAAATCCTTCATTAACCACTACATTGACATAAGATGTAAGCATTAAATAAGAAAACGGAACATTTTATAAGAAAAATTTATAATAAAAATATTTATTTGTCTAAATAATAACATTCAACGTTTATTTATTATAAAATTGATAAAAGCAAAATATCGGAACTGAAACGAAGTGAAATATTTAAAACAATCGAACTGAACAACAATGGTGAATTTCTGAACGCACCCTCCTCGTGAGCGTTTGACACTTCTTGCTGTCTCAATGGCAACTGAGCGAAACAACAAAACATTAACCTAAATATAATATCACACACAAGACATCGCAACAATTTAACTCTGTAGTACAAAAATACTGATATCAAGTGTACAGATCTCAAATCATGTTTAAAAATACATTTCAATCGGGTTTCTTGTCGATTTTGTACAGTATTGGCAGTAAGCCGCTGCAAATTTGGGATAAAAAGGTCCGAAATGGTCATATCAAACGAATCACCGACAACGATATTCAAAGTTTGGTGCTTGAAATTGTTGGCACCAATGTAAGCACCACATATATCACATGTCCGGCCGATCCAAAGAAGACACTCGGAATCAAGTTACCGTTTTTGGTGATGATTATCAAAAATTTGAAAAAATATTTCACATTTGAAGTGCAAGTAAGTTTCAATCAAGTAGGCCGTCGCTAGGAAACGTCAACTAAACGTTATTTATTTGTTCTTCTTCTGTAGATTTTGGATGATAAAAATGTTCGACGGCGATTCAGAGCAAGCAATTATCAGTCGACAACAAGAGTGAAACCATTCATTTGTACGATGCCGATGCGACTCGATGAGGGTTGGAACCAAATTCAATTCAATTTATCGGATTTCACAAGACGAGCATATGGAACAAATTACGTTGAAACATTACGCGTTCAAATACACGCAAATTGTCGAATACGTCGTGTATATTTCTCGGACAGACTTTATTCGGAGGATGAGCTCCCGTCAGAGTTCAAGTTATTCTTGCCTATTCAAAAACCACCACAGAAGGCCATAGCACAAGCTTAGGCCCATATTTGTTACTCACATACACAACATTTTACTGTTTTACTTCGATTACTACTTTACTACTTGACATTCAGGATCTTATTATACCGTTTTCTGGCATTAAAATGAATAAAGAGAAAAAATAATAAATCTCACTTCGATTAAACAAAGAGTTTCTTTTATTATTTTTTATGTTTCTGACAAAGTTTGTGTGAATTGACTATGATGTTGAATGTGATTATTTAGCCACTTTGATGATGTTGATCGTGCCATATTATCACAGTTTGTACCAATGGAAGTTTGCGTATGTGTAGATATGTTATCCATCATCAAATGACTATCAAAACAAGTTTGAGTTTCGGTCGATACAAATATATCGTTGCATTCATCGTTTGGCCAATTGGTTTGTGTTTGAATATCGGTCAAACCAAGTTCGGTTAATATATCATCTGAAGTTTGTGTGTGCATATGACACAAAAGTGGATCCATCTCACTTGATGCAATATTTGTCTCTTCAAATGGCATTAAATCGGTTTGGGTTTCGATAGAACACAAACCAGCATTGAAATTATTCACTGTGAAATAGTGCAAGCTACTTTCATCATCCACATAGCTCAAATTATTCAAGTTGCGATTGGCTTTGGTTGAATCTTCCGTCGACGAATTACTCTCCTCGTCAATCAACTCCAAACTCTTATATTTTTCATCTGATTTTTCCACACTTTTCTTTGCCATCATTCGCTTTGTGTTAATCAATGAGGTTTGAGTTGTTTGTGAGACTTTATTGCCAGCAATTGTTTTGCTTTTTTCTAAAATCTTTTGAAAATTGGCTCGAATTTTGGCTGCCGGTGTGTTGGTCCGCAAAACACCTCGTACTCTTTTCATCAGAACATCCGTTTGGTTTTTATTGTCGGCCGATTCTTCCTTTGGTGCAATTTGAATTTCGTATGGTTTCTTATCCGATTTGAGTTGATCATCGATTTTCATTGTTATTGGAATAATTTGCTTTATTTCTGGCTTCGGTGGTACTTGATGCCCTTTTCTTCTGCAATGCGTCAGTAGACATTCCCTGCGAAATTAATCGAATCAATTAATAAAATCACACAAAAAATAATAAATTTAATTGATTTACCTGCTCGAATATTCCCAATCACAGTCGATACATTTGAATAAAATACCACAGCTTCGTTCATGCAATGTCTTTAGCGGAATATTTGCAAACGATTTATCACATTTTGAGCATTTTTCATTCTTAGCTGCATGCACTTTCAGGAAATGTTGCCGCAAATATTTGCGACATTTGAAAAATTGTGAACTACAATTTTGTAGAATATTGTATTTACACTTTGGCACTGGACAAAAATATTGTACCTCTGAATTATTATCGATTAATTTCTTGATTTGAACACCGTGATGCTTCTCCAAATGCATATTCAAATTGCTTATACTCGTAAATGTTGACGAACATCCAGCTACTGTACATGGTTTTTGTTGATTTTTTATCAAACTTTGTTCATTCAAAATGTACTTTATGATTCGTTTCTTTTCCATTTTTTTTCTGTTTTTAAATTATTTTACTTTCATTTGATTTGTTTTTCAGTCTGTGAACATTTTTGTTGAATGATGGACCACTTTGAAGTGTCAAAACTAAACTGAACCTTAAACTGACATTTCAGAATGGTGAATATAAAATCTGTGCAGAACATAACCTCACATCGTTTGATAAACAAATTCAATTCGATTTTTTTGTAGCAAAAATGATACTAAATAAATTGAGTCGAACGATATTGTCGATTGGCAAAAATCGACATCAAAATTGTAGGCAATTTTTCAAATTCGGCGGAAAGTAAGTGATTTTGTTTTCTATAAAAATCATGCTGATATTATTTTTAATAATCAATTTTCAATTAACTAGTACCGATACCGGAGATTACGAAGTTGTTCGACCTGGATATGTGTCGCCGATGCGTTATGTACCTGATCACATTGAAAAACCAAAATATTACGATGATGGTGTACCTGATTTATTTAAATCGGTGAAAGTTGAATTAAAACGATCAAAAGCCATATCAGCGATGAGAGATAGCTGCCGACTGGCCGCTCAAATCTTAAACGAATGTGAGAAAATATTGAAGGTAAAGGAATGCTAGAGTTGAATAGTTTTTGGTCTTGAACTGTTGATTTTATTTAAATGACGAACATTTTTATTTTTTCTTTGTCAATAGCCCGGAGTGACAACAGAAGAGATTGATGAACTTGTGCATGAACAAACCATTGCAGCGAATGCGTATCCTTCACCGCTTCTCTATTGTGCCTTTCCAAAATCGGTGTGCACATCTGTAAATAATATTGTATGCCATGGAATCCCAGATGATCGACCATTGGTTGATGGAGATATTATAAATATTGATATTACTGTGAGTGACAGTCTCTTTGGAGTGGGATATTTAGTTTCAAAATCAATTGATTTTGTTTTTTGAACTTCCTTTTCAGGTGTTTTTGAATGGCTATCATGGTGATTGTTCGAAAACATTTTTAATTGGAAATGTGGATGCACTCGGTAAACACTTGGTTAAAGTGACCGAAGAGTGTTTGTACAAAGGCATTAACGTTTGTGGACCGGCAGTTCGGTTTAAGGAAATTGGCACAGCCATTGAAGAACATGCGATGCAAAATGGAGTTGAAGTAATTCGAGACTTTATAGGTCATGGAATTGGAGAATACTTCCATGGCAAGCCGGAAATTTGCCATTATCGTAAGCTATCTAATTCAATTTTGATTTTTATCACATTTTCTTTTCATTTTGGACCTTTTGTCCAAGTACAAACTTAAGTATCTTTGTTATAAGTCTTGAGTGAGCTGTTAAATAGCTGTGGCTTGTTGTAACACCTTTTCACCACGTGCCTTTTGAAACATCTTTTGTATTCATTCCCCTATTCAGGAAACGATTATGATGGTACTATGATGCCCGGAATGACGTTCACAATTGAGCCAATTCTGTGTTTGGGTCAGCCAAAATTCAAAATTCTCGAAGATGAATGGACAGCAACAACAAAGGATAATTCACGATCGGCACAATTTGAACACACTATTTTAATAACAACAGAAGGTGTTGAAGTTTTGACGTTACTCGATCCATCAAAATTATTATCACACGGGACAACAAATGCGTCACCAAATAAATTAGTTTAATTTTTAAACAAATAAATATGTTGCTCCATATTATTTTTAGAAAAATGTGCTGTAAAAAGGGATTAATTTATGAAATAAATTAATTGGAAATATATGCATGAGATATATGTATACCGTTGCACGAGCCAATTAGCGTTCATTGAGCGAATAATTTAAAGGAGTCGATTAATGCTAATTGTTATGCATAAAATTGGATCGAATGAATTTAGATCGATTGAAATATTATCTGGTTTGACGATGGTTGATAATACGCTTCCAATATAACTCATTTGCGGAGCAATTTTGTCGATGGCGGGACTGTGCGGAGTTCGGCGGAGATAGCATCCAAATGCTGTGTGTACGAGTGCAACAGCATTCTTTGCTGTTCATAGATTTATTTTGTCCAAACGAACATCTTAGTAGCCGTACACACAGCTAAGTTTCTAATCATCTGCGTAAGAATGATACACATAGATGTGCTGTTACCCTCGTACACACAGAGTTTGTATGTCATCTCCGCCAAACTCCGCACAGTCCCGCCATCGTCAAAATTACTCACCAGGTAAATGAGGTCAGCAAATGAATAACATGGGTTGTATTGGATGTATTTGTTAAATATAAAGAAAACTCAGTTGATTGGAATGTCATTAAACCGCATATTAAATCACTGATATGTTTTGCGCATGAAGATTGCGTTTAGGCTGATAAACTACCATATATGAAAGATGTTCTTTTTTTGTATATTTAATGCGATTAATAAGTACACCAGACACAATTGCCAAGAGAAGAAAAGCCAGTTGGTGAAAAAGAGAAGAAGAAAGAAACGCATTGGAATGAGTTTGCGAGAGTTGTGGTTTTTTTTAATAATCTTCCGCGTTTGAAACTCATTAACCATGGTAAATGCAGAGCGTACCTGTTTTTTTGTACGCTATTCGCATACAATTTTCCTCCTTATAATTTATTAATTACGCGCTCATCAATATTCAGCACTTCATGCCGCGCTTCATCCACTATTGGGATTGAAATCAATTTCGTTTTTATTATTAGTATCTTGTCTTCTGATGTGTGACAAAAGCAATGTGTTGTTGTCGCCACTGCGCATAGTGACAATCTGTCATTCTGCATCAAGAGCAAAAATAACTAACATCGAGCATTTTATTCGCCTTTGTATCATTGCGAATTTAATTTATGCAGTCCAATGATGACAAAGGGTCAAATAACCATTTGTTTAATGTATCATTTGTTCTATCCAATAAAAATCGTACACCTCTTTTCACCGGGCATAAAGCGTAGTAATTTACGAATTGAAAATGATCACTCTGTAGATGGCTTTCAAGTGCAAATGAGTTACAAACGAAAGAAGAAAAAAAAATTCGTACATTCAAATACGCGATGATTTTTCTCGACGATTCGTTCCGTCGCACAAAATTAATATTATTAATTTAAAGCCATTTAAGAAAGTGGTGATTTGAATTTTTATTATGTATTGTCCTTTCTCTTCTCTTTTTGTTATTGTTGGTTCCCGGCCAAATCACGGCCACGATGAATGGCCACATGAGCGAGACGAATTCGAGTAAACTTAATTCGAAATCATATCGAATTATGCAGTTTTCAATTCACAAAATTGTGATGTGCGGTTGCAGCCACATGTCCATAAAGTGTTAAAAAAGGTTTTTTTTTCTCTTCTCGTTATATTCGATGTGAGCAGAGCGTAACAAATCTATAGAAAAAAAACTGGAGCTCGGATAATAACTGTGGATACTACAAAAAGCCCTGTATAATTATACATTCATTTTTCGAACGTTTTTGGCCAATGCAAAAAGAACAAAATGTTGTGAAAGAACAACACATTGTGATTTTTATGGATGTTTTAATGAAAGAAAGAAAGAAAGAAAAAAAAATCGCTTCCCGAAATGCGCATTGCTGCCATGACTGCTGTCCATTGCGATCAAATATAACATGCTCGCGAGTGCGCACCACAAAAAAAAGCGACACATCAACAAGAAACGTAGAGTCATCGATATAAAAGCAACCACCAAAGGAATGTATTGGTTATGCGATGCAGGTAGTAGTACTGCATTCGTAATTTCAAAATGCACTCCCTATTTGTAAATCGTGCAAATACCGATCGTTAACTACTGTAATCAAGTGTACCGAGTTAAATATATTACATACATGTTCCGTCGTCATCTCTCGTGATGCTTAATGTTTTGCCGTTTTTGCATATAGAGCGATTTTGATATGTGTACATTTATGCCCATCACTTAATGAACGCTTTTCGATTGAAATTGACGTTTATTGCGGCCATAAATAAAATTGTTCAATCTAGCAATGCGAAAGCATTCTTTGCATCAATTCACACAAATATTGTTCAATATTTATCGGATGCAACGCATATTCTTCGCAATTAGAAAGCACATCGATTACGATTCAGTAATTTTCCACGGGGACAATTACAATGGATAAATTCACATATTAGGCGATTCGCTTCTTTTTTTCTCTCGAGTATTCGTGTTCAAATTAAAAATTTAAAACAGATTCAGTGAAATTTTTAATTGATTCGCGAATTTCATTTCAGATAAGCTTTTGTCGATGTGACGTTGGTTCATTGCGCGTGCAAAACTCTTAAAATGATTTAAAAGCATAATGCATATTTTATAACGGTATTTTTCGGTTGTGTGCAACGAATTTCATATGAGGCAGCCAATTTTTTGGCGATAACATGAGCATTTAAAATGCATGAAGATCAATGTGTGTATTATGTGTGTACTTCATTCTTTTTTTATTCTTTTGTTAGCAAAAGTAGCAGCAGCAGCAATCAAAAGAGACAAGAAGAGCGAGAAAGAGAGGAAAAAAAGCAAATGTCTCATCGAAAAGTGATGTCGTTTTGGTAATCTCAACAGGCAATTTATTCGGTCTTGTTTGATCTATAGACCTTGCAACTTCATATGTTTCCGAAGCGCGACAAAAATGATGATGCTTTCTTCATGTTTTCGCTCGTCTTTCTCTCTATCCATTTTTCGTTCGGGCTATTTTACTTGAATAATGTGCGCACATTGTACGACACAAAATAAGGCGAGTCGTTTCTTTGTTGCATTAAATGCAAACATAATACAAAATAAGTAAAATGTTGATTTATCTTAAAGTAAAAAGTGTTCGATGAACAGAGAAGAACAAACTGAGCAATTGAAGCGCAAAGAAAAACTAAGAATGACAGCACCAGAATATGTGTGCACCGGAGAGAGGCCAAATTATCAAATAACAAAATACTTGAAGAATCAATGCGCGGGGAAATGGCCATAAAATCGAGTGAGAACGACGAATAAAAATGTTTAACAAACGAAATCACAACACGAACACCACACCATAGCCAAATGCGCACAACACAGCCCATTAACTTTCCCATCACGTTTATTGGTGACCGAAACCGAAAAATACATTAAATAATATAATTAAAATGAAATAATATCCGCGGTAAAAACAATGATAAAACATGTCTCCACCGGACTTGAGTGTTTCGCTTCGTTTCTTCGGTTTTTTTTTCTTGTATAAGCTGTGTACAGTCGGTATGCTTGCTCTTTCTGATAACAGTGCATCGAAAACAAAATCGCAAAGATATCAGTGAAAAACGAAGACTGCACACTGAAGCAATGACGACGACGACAACGACAACAAATGTTGTTGAGATCGGACGACGAATTTCCGAAAATTGTGCTCAGCACAAATAACAAACCGAACAAAAATGGCACATCGAAAAAAGATGCTGAATTAAGAGAGAGAGAGAAAGAGAGAGAGAGAGCGAGAGAAAAAACGAACACAGAGCCTACATAATATCATCATAATTTATATTCTGTCGAAAATCGAAAAAATTCTTCGTGGTTTTTGTGTCTCGCGCATCGGTCCGTTTTTGAAGAAGGAGTACAGGCAGGGAAAAATGAAACATACGCTACACAACCCAAAAAGAAAATGAGCTCACAAATTTATTATGTTACAAATGCGTTACTTTCTACTTAGGGTGTTTCCCATATCTGTAAATAGAAAAATGGTATTTATTAATTCAAAGTAGGCAAAATTTTATGGTAGTTAATGGCATTTATACAACGAAGCGATTGATGGTAGCACTTCCCGAAGCGAAAAACAATTGTCACGTCTGAATATATAAATGCAATCGAATAATGAAAAATACTCACAGAAAAACAGAGCCTTGGTAGTACTTCCTCGAAATGCTGAGACACAACAGTCAGTCTCAGTTAGTGTAACAAAATTACAATATTAATTTTTAATTAATTTTCGAGTTAAAATAGTGATTGGTTATGCTTAAGGCTGTTGATTATTTTGAACTGCTTGTTGTCGACGTGGTCTCTGCAATGTTAGCGGGATATCCAGTCCAAACAGGTTACAATGTCCTATAAAAAAATACAAATGTCATTTAACACAGACATAACACATCTATAATATGCAAATGTCCATTTCTTATATACATACCTTTGATGAGAATGCATTTGGCGGCCACGATATCACGATCCCAAGTTGTCTGATGCACAATCATTGGTTGTTGCTTGTCATCGATTTCCGTCACACATTCATCATCGACTGCACACGGTTGTTGAGCGACCTCTCCATCGATTTCCGCTGCATTTTCATCATCAACTGCATGTGGTTGTTGATCGACTTTGACGTCAGCATATTCCAATACACCACTCACTGCGTTTACTTGCCATTTTTTTGGATACACGGCCACCTTAGACAGTAAACGATCAGCTATAATGTCGAAATCATGCTCAGTCATTTCACCTCGAGCCAGAAATACCGCCAAACTCTCTTCAATATAAACTTTGTTATACTTTAAACGCCGTTTGCTGAACTGTGCCACGATTTTCGATGGTAAAAAGTTAGCCATGATTGAATTTGGCACCGGTGCACAATTTTCACAAACTTTGAAACGGTTGCTTTTGGTGTTTGGATCGAATCGTCCGCCACATTTTGCGCATGTCTGTGATGTAAAATACTCATCGACTTTGCGCACGACACAATTGCCACGTTTTCGAAAACCTTTCAAAAGTTTGCGTGTACCGGGACAGCGCACATGCTTCTTAATGCGTATTGGCGAATTTGGTGACATGTCGGCGTTGCCCAAATGAATCAAAGCTGCTTGATGATTAACCAAAGTGCCGCAAAGTTTATCTATAGTACTATTGGACTCAACATACTTGTCAAACTTCAAGCGCGCATATTTTGGTGTAGTGTACACGTCCATTCCTTTCTTGAGCATTTTTATCCGATGGCAAATGTAATCAGTCCAAAGTGTACCAAGCGGTGATGGCATTCGCTGGTACAGCTGTCGATTGTTTCGATCATTTTGCTCATCCAAAGTGAACTGCTTCGTCCAGCGCTTGGCCTTTTTGTCGCGCATTTTATATTTCGTGAGCCAATGGTACTTTTTACTAGATGTTTTCAAGTTGACCTGAAATTAAAATTAAAAAAAAAATCAATTGAAAATTTTGTTTGTTTGCTTCGTTCACGTAACATATAACTCTCGATTTTTTAACAATGCTAAAGAAAAAATAAATACTTACTTCTTTGCGAGTACTGATGGTTCTTCGGACAGTCGCATTCCATGTCTTCATACCCGGATCGATTCCCAGTTCATAAACAAACGTTCCATCCAAGTATCGCTTTCTCACAATGTCATCATCCAGCAACCGTTGAAGATGTTGTTTTGACAATTTATACAATACCGATACTGATTCACCGTTGCTAACAATAGTATAATGAAACTCTTTGTTTTTCTTCAATATTCGATTGATTTTGTCAAAATCGAATATTTGGTTCCAGAAGTGTTCTTTGTTTTCGCGAATGAATGTTTCGGTAACTTGTTTACCTTCGACTTTTGGAAGGAGTTTCTCTTCTGCCAACATTCTGTAGAAAACATCATTGCACATGAACACTGCCTTTCGCTGATAATCTGGCAATGGAACAACAGACAGATTTTTGATCTTCGGTATTGTGACGTTGTTGTCTTGCGCCCAATTGTGAAACTCATCGATTTCGCTTTGCATGACAAGCCACATTGCAGTTGCTTTGAACCAGTATTTGCCTTTTGAGAACTGCTTGATGTTGTCATAATTCGCTAGTCCACCAACCTCTTCCACAATTGCACGAACCATGTCAAGCAGCAACTTTCTTTTGTATCGTTTAAGAGGTGCATTCTGATGTGTGTCTCGAATGGCATCATAGCGTCGAATCGCCCAATCAATTGCATTGTCAACATCCTTTTTATCGAACCTCAAACCGGTTGACACTGCATTAAACTGCCAAGCTCTCATTTGCAAATAATTTCGCAGCCGCTTCTTTGCATGTGTCGTTTGATTCGTTTTCAATTGGCGCGTATAACTTTGGCATAAAGATTTCATGATGTTGCCGAAATAATTGTTGTTTGGCCAGGCAAATTGATTGTCTCGGCTCAGTCCTTGCTCAACAAAATGACGAATGTGTGGTTCCATGTCCTCGTTTTCTTTGTTCTTTTGCAAAACTGCATAGAAGCAGCGCTCAATCACATCTTCGGCACGATTTTTTTCAACCAATTTTCCTTTTTGGTTAACATACATTCTATTCGTGAAAAAGTCCCATTGGCGATTGTTTTGCGCGGACTTCACTTTGTCAAGGAACAGCAATGAGGCCAAAACGCTGATCTTTGTTGACATGACACTTTTCTTTTCGATCCAATGTATGACAACATCATGGTACTCCGGCCGAACAATTGTTGTGAGGCGCATTTTTATCGCTAATAAGCCATTGTCATTGAAGTTTTCGTCCTCGGCCTCCTCCTCTTGTTGCTTTTTTGTTTGATATTTATATCGTTTCTTTTTCGCCTGTGCAGCCGATGTTTCACCAGTTGTCGACATGTTGAACTGCAACGAAATAGAAAAAAACACGCACAATTTACTATAAAAACACTGATAAAATCACACATATGTATTTTGCACTGTGCAATTTGTAAATGAATCAATAGAAAGCACATGAAACGGAGATAGAATTAACACTTGATCTTACCTGATTGATGGACACGACTGAAGTGATATTCAAAATCGAAAAAGAACTCTCTCGAATGCACATCACACTAACACAGTCCAAAGTTGTATCGAAATATTTGCAGTTTCAGCTTGAGAACGTTTTGTTGATATCAAAACAAAACAAAATCGAACACAAGTTTCACTGAAAATATCTCTCTTGCAAGTTATCGATTGACAATGATCCGAATGTTGAATCTGTTGTATTCATAAAAAAACCATCAACAGAGTGAAATTAACTCCTTCGAAAGCATAAAACAAATACAAAATACGCCGACACATTCAAATTATATGTTTTAGCACTTTAACAATCGAATGCATAGAAATTATGCAAGGAATGCAAATTCAAATAAAAAAAAACAATGATTCTTAAAAGTTTCACCACGTTTAAAATGTGACAGATCATTCGACTAACACACAACTCACACTGCATTCCGATGTAAAAAAATATTCCTATACTGTAAACACACACATTTTTTGTTTATAAACCGTTTGAATAAGGAAATTGTGTGTGCTGAACTAATGAACGGACTCACAGTTTGTGTATGTGTAAACACTAACAAGCAAACGAAACGGCATGATTATTAGCCTGTCGCGATGGATATACTCAAATCTGTATGGACTGCTGTGTGTTAATGTGTTGTATGGACTGCTTGTGTGTTAATGTTGATTCAAATCATATACCGACTTCACTGGCCAAAAATTGCTTACACAGAGTTTTGTTGTACGATTGTGAAAATGCGTTTAACATAAATACTTTATTTTGTTTATTTATCGAATTCAAAGGAGTCGCAACAATAAGTTATCAAAGCAATCGAAAAGTGTCTATATATGTGCAAGCGACAAAGAAAAAAAACTTCAAACTTCATGCGTTTCATATTTCTTTTTCGCTTCGGGAAGTGCCATTGTCAATCGCTTTGTTATATGAATGCCATTAAATGATATAGAATTCTGTGTTCTTTGAATTCAAAAGTACCATTTTCTCATTTAGAAACATCGGAAACACCCTATTGTACATGCCAACCTTTTGTAATTGATTGATTTTTACTGCCTTCACAAAGCGCATTGAACAATTTTTTTTAGCTAAACAATCGTCCGGATCACAACTTAAAATATGACGAAAACAAAATATACATGTCCAAAAGAAAAGAGGATCACACACAATACGCACAAGTGAATCGACGAATTTTCAACGGTGCGTCATGTCAAGATTTTAGATATGCAACAGCAGTAACAATAAGACTAAACACAGAAGAAAAAAAATCAACAGAATGAAACAACACAGTCAAGTGATTGTGCTCATGTCAAAATATGCAACGTAAGAGTATAGAGAAAATCACCGCTTAACATGTTGCGCATTTATGATGGAGTCCTGTAGAATCAAGTAATACAAAAAGAGAGATTGTAAACGGAGATTGACGGTGGAAAAGTTTTGTTTGCATTGGCCAATTTTCAACATTTTCTCGCTGCTGCTGCTGCTGCTGTGTACTCTCACGTATAATAATTGTATTTTTATCATTTGCCTTGTTTTATTTTCGGCGGTTTTTATCGTACCACCGAATAAAACATGATGAAATTCAATGATGACGAAGACGACGCACATTTTTATCGCATTCGAAGAAAAACGGACACAAATAAATGTGATGAACATTTTTTGTTGTTGGTATGCGATGAAACCATGCCGAAAATATATTAACTGCAACATGTCTTAACTTAATTACACATCACTAAGTGGTTACGAGCATGCGAGCGAGAGAAAGAGAGAAAGCGAGAAAAAAAATTAAACAATTATTATACAAAGCGCAGCGAATATTTGCGCGTTTCAATTGACAATAGCGGTAGTTGCAAATGCTAAACACACACATACAGCCTAATTACATTCCACGGCCAAACATTCCAATTCGAAATACTCAAGAAGTGTCCATTATTTTGGAAATATTTTTTTAATTTTTGTCGTTCTTCTTTTTCGTTGTGTGTCGGTATACAAATACGGTTAGCAACAGATCACTTGACGCACTTCCTGATATGACATTTGGCTAATGGTTTTTCGTAGAATAACAAAGAATGTCAAGCATGAAGCGACAACAATTGTATGGTGATCATTAAATGAATTGCAATTTCGTGCCATTCTCCATTTAAATTGTGTAGGATTTATTAGAATAAAGATAGAAATGAGCAGAAAATCGTTTTTACAAAACAAGAACAAAAATAATAAAATTTAACTTCATGGCATAAAATGTATGCAAATCATATGCAGTTTAAAGCATTTCTTTTGTTCATGATAATTTACAATGATTCAGACAATTGTCCATCATTTTTTTATCCGAAGAATGGAAATGAAGAACAGATGCTTTTATTGAACATTTTTCTTGAACATACTGACAGTAGTTCGCGTATTTCAAGAAAATGAAACACTTTGTAGAAAGATAATTGCTTAATTTCGATGTGATATTGAAGTGATTGCATTGTGAAGTGAATATATAACTTTCGAGAAAAAAAATCACCAGCTGCGAAATTGTAAAAAGCAAAGTATTCAGTCTGAATTCAACTAATTATCAATTTGGAAAATTTTAAAGAGGGAATCATATTTCTAGGAATTTTCCCATTCACTTACCTTTTTTTATCAGAAGAACCTTCTAAAAAGATCGAAATACGAACTTTAAAAAAAGATATTTGTGTTTAAATAATACTCGCTCGGTCATATGATAAGATAAAGTGTAAATGTTTATTTCCTTTTCTCTTCAACTACACTCAACTTGTTCAACTAATTAACATTACAAATGCATGGATGAACTTTTTATTTTAACTGAATACATGTAGTTTTTTTTATATAAGTGCTACGACAAGAGCTCTGAATGTTTTAAATTAGACTGAAAAGTGATTGGCTAATTCGAAACACGGCCAACCGAAATCGATCAAACAAGTAACGAGCAAAATATTTAAAATGAAAAAAAAAATGTTCGAATTCGACATCAGTTACAAAAAAATCACAATTCGCTATATTCGTATTAACATTTGTAATCGTGCTAACGATTCATTCGTTGCGTTTTGTTTTTTAAAAAATAAACACCTAAATGGAATGCATATTTTCTTTTAATTCCTAAACTATGAAAGAAAAAATCAAATAAAATTATGAATAAATGCTTAAAGTCAAACATCGCATCGCATTTCGTCCTTTTATATATTTAAAAAAAAATGATCACATTTTCTCTTGTTTAGCATAGAAATGTTTTTGTTAAAATTTAAAATGGCTAATTTCGACTTTGATTAAAATAAGGCAAGAGTTCGAAAATGACTGAAACGCATGAAAAATTTTGAACCTAAAAATATATACGGCCGAAACAGTTGTGTGATAAAACATCAATTCTACATACAAGTGCAATTTATTTTGCGATTCGATGGCATTCCTGTTTTTTTGTGCATGAGTTCTTCATATTGTTACATTCATGCCGGTTTCCTATACGAAATTTCTTACTTAAAATACACTGTCATCTCTCGCATCTTTCATTTTTGAGGAGGATTTCTCTTTTACAACAAGCTTATTCCGATATTTAAACATTGGATTTCAATCCATTTGCAATTATCGGCCTGATTACTATAAACACGTTGAAGAATTATTCATAAATTCAAAATTCCGTCATGAAAGTAAATGTTCAACTAATCGAAATGTGTGTAGTTTGTTTTTTTTTCTTCTCTTGCTATAAATCTTAGATAAACTAATTGAATGAGATTCAAGTAATGCCATTGCGGATTGTGTGTTTTCACTAATGAATTGCTTTAGCTATTTAATACCGTATTTGTACTGCCCAATTGATTATGTGCCATCAATGATTGATTATGTGCCAGAAGTAGAATATCTTTCTTTTCTTTTGGGAAACGCAATTCTCTGCCGGCCAAACGAGCCGTTTCTAATTCACGTTCGGCCAATGCAAGTTCACGACTCAATACACCGGGACTTTCCTGTTCACGTGCAATCCAATCGAGTGCCATTTGAGAGCGCATGTCATCGTCCAATGTACGATTACTATAATGTGCTACCACCTCTTGTCGTGAACACTGGCGTTCTCGCATCGCCTTTAACGATCCATTCCAATGTAACAGTTGAAACACTGTCATCAACTCTTGAAATTCAAGCATTGTACGACCTTTATTCGCTTCCAACATGAATCTGTGCAAAAGAGGTAACAAGAACAAATATTTCAACATAAAAAATAAACAATTTTGGCTAATGATGTTGAAAAAAAAATCGAATTCGAAATCGATGCAAAAGATAGTCATAAAATTTACCTAAATGCGCCGATTCCAGTGTCTGGGCCATCGTCTTCGTTATTTTCAGATTTGAAAGAGGCTCGTGCTTCTTGAACGGCTTTGGCAATGAACTCATCGCTAATGCGCCGTGAGGGATGTTCATTGAAAACCGAATTCATCAAGGCAATCTTGGCTGAACTCCGTCTAGCTTCAGCTTTCGTTGGACAATTCTAAGATGAATAATCATTTTGATTCAATATAGTTTGAAGGCGTTAGATAATAAACATTATTTACCTGAAAACTTCCAAAACAACTGCCTCCGGGCAAAGTCACGTAACAAATGTAAGGTTGGCTATTCGATGGAACTGATTCGTAGATAACAATGGCACCGTTTTTCAAATCAGCGCCACGCGCTTGTTTCATTTGCCAGAATTCTTGAAGGGCCTCGACAACGTTAACTTAAAAAAGAAAAAGAAAATTTCAAAATAAGATCTTTTTTTAATGGAAAAGGAAAAGTGTTATAAAAAATCAAATTATTGTGAAAAATGATAGGAATCAGTGTACAGTGTATACAATTGTGACCAATACAATTTAGAACAAATGGTTCGGTTTCGGTTCCGTGAATAATTGTTAATTGAGTTTTATAAGTGCAAAAACGATGAAAATCCATTGCAGGTGAAAAGGTTAAACGGTGTTGCGTGGTATGCCACCGAATTTGCGGTAAATATAACTGAAAGGCTTTCATCAATTTATTGTTTAAAATGCCTTGTATTCGTTCTCCATTAAATACACGTGTTTACCATTATTATGTCGATTTAAAGTTTGGCATCGAGAAAATAAACAGCGAGAGAGAAAAAGAGAGAGAGATAAAGATGCAAGAGGGAACAAAAGAAAAAACAAACATTGTGAAAACTCAATTCGCGAACGATACACGAAACCAAATATACGTAATTTTCATTTTGGTGCATTAAATTCCATTTTCGAGTTGTTGTTGCATGAAATGTGCGCTGCGCATCAAATCATTCAAAGAGCAAGATGCATTTTATTGACTACATTTTACACTCCCACCGTTCATAATGGGCTTTTTTTGCTCTTCTCTGTGCGATGCGGTGCGGTTAAGAAACGTGTTGTACACATTACACCGGCTATCATCATCACATTAACCGTGCGCGCTTATCTTTTTGCATTGGCGAACAGAGGCATGCAGAACAAACGCCAATGTCCATAAGTGATTTATAATAATAATGCACAAGTAATAATATACCAGATTGAACTTGATTGAACGTAGACGAGCGTGAGCGCGTGTGTGTGTGTCTGTTCGCAAAATGTGCGCGGCTGGCAAATTTCAGTGAGCACGAAACTTGAACACAATTTCGTTTCGATATTGTGTGTGTGTATATTTTATTCTGTTGCTCGGTTTTCAAGATATGCGCCAAAGTGATAAAACACGACCAGATCGGGACGCACCTCACAGACATACACTACCCAAGGCGGTGTCAAAAACTCGAACAAGATGATTTCCAAACGTGAGAACAAGAGTTCATTCGCTATTTTAATTGAGATTGAATGAAATGATTTATATTCTCTTTCATGTTTGTTGATCAATCAAATTAACTACGGATTGTTTTATGACTTTAACTTTCGTTCGTGAGCTCGTATTTTTCATTCATGAAACACGTTTTTTATGACAATTTATTAATTCACAATGTGATGCTATCTCTCTGTGTAGAAATGAGTTATTTTTTTTGTCTCATTCGTTAGTGTTCTTGTATGCTTCTCGACTTTATTATCGGTTAATAAAAAATAAGATCATCTGATCAATGAAAACTATAACTGAAATCCATTCATTTTCATCGCAATTGAGTACTTCGGTTGAATTGTTCTTATTTCATTTTTCTCACAACAGTCACGTTTTATTCGCATAAATGACACTTTATGAAAGTTTACATAAATAAAGCGCGTACAAGCGATTTTCGATTTATGCGAAATTATTGAGCGTTTTCTTTAATTCACCAACAGAAATGAGAATAAAAAAAAAAAAAAGATCACCAACATTGTGTCGAAAAAGTCGCAGGAGGAACACTGTATAGCCCAACAAAAAATAATGTAACATGAAACCAAAATTAGCTGTGAGTGAGTAATCGAATGTATTATTATTACATTTTCAGCCGGATCAACGGAACCATAATGAAGCGAGAAAGAAAGATGTACATTTTTCGATGCCCAAAAAAATATATACTATATATCTGTATATATAAATTGTGGACACTCATGTGCAGCGCGCACAATCAAGATATGAAACGCAGTTAAGAAAAGAATAAATACCTTGCGGCGCTTCATTTAAAAAAACATACATAATACAAATCATCTAGTGGTCGATGAACACAGAGATGAACCAATACAATCGCAGATATGAGCATAAGATAAATAACCGAAACAAAGAAACAGAAGATAAAACACACACAAAGTTCACGAAAGAGAGGAAAAAAACAAGCCACAGGTAAAACAAAATAGGTCAGAAACGAATTACTTAAATCATCTCGGAATCACCCACTTGGATAGAGAGAGAGAGAAAGAGAGAGAGAGAGAGAGAGAGAGAGAGAGAGAGAGAGAGAGAAGAAAACGACGAGAAAAAAGTATTTATGATTAAAAGAAATTTGGTTTTGGAGCCCGCACTCCATGGCCAATAAAATTTTATGATTTATTTTAATATGCTCTCTTCCGTGTATGGTTTCACGGTGATTGAATTTCAATTTACATGCCAAGTCGTAAAAAAGACAACAACGACAACACAACGAGCCAAACCATTTTTCATAGAATGAAATGCATAAAAGTTTATTGATTCAATTATAAATCATGCGCGCGTTTAACGCGCTTATTTTTCGCGACTAAAAATTTCACTTCAGGTTACAAATGTTCGTCAAACCCACTTAATTGTGTGACAAAAAAAGCGTGAATCGGTGACAAAACTAAATCGTTCTTTGTTTTCTGTGGTATCAATGAATCCTAAGGTAATGTGAGCTACTGCAAATTTTTGATTCTTACCGTTGTATTCGTCGTTATCGTCGTATAAACCATGAAATGTTGGCACTGTCCAAAAATGTTCTTCAGGATATAACATCATTCTCAATTGAATACAAAACTCACACTTTGATCGCTTTCTTTTTTTTATCTTCTTTTCTTGTCTTTTTTTGGGGCACTATTCAAGTAAACTTTCCACTTTGTTTTTTTTTTTCGCTCAGTTCTCGTATGCAAAACTTTCAACTTAATCAAAATTTTATGCTAAACGAGAAAAAAATGGTCGTAAAAATTGTATGTGTTTTTTTTGCATTTGGTCAGTCAATAGTGTGTGGAGAGGAACATTGAAATGGTGGAATCCCATGGTTTCGAAAGGTCCATTTAAAAAAATTCTAAACGCATCATCGATTGGAAGTGAACATAAAAACAATTTTTTACGATGGATTGGTCAAATGCCGACCCACATTGCAGATGGCCGATGAAAAGAGTACTTCTCACACACCGGCCATTTTTTACGGTTCTCTTGTTTTAACGAGATTGGGATTTTTCTAAGGTAAGCAAGCGAGAAAAAATAAAAACAAAAGGTAAAACTAATTTAAGTGTTGAAAATGTGGTTAATTCAATTTTGCTATTAAACCAACACAGTTTTCATGCGAGTTTTTTCTTTCCTTTTTCTTTCTGTACAAAATATACATTTTACACGATCATTTGCCAAAGAGATGAACACAAAGAAGTCTGATCATTTTGCAACAATGTTGCAAGCAATATAACAAGAGCGATAAAATTAAAACAGAAAAAAAAGCAGCAGCACACAGCGAGAGAGGCAATGAAGAAGCCTAGAGACACACCAACCAATAAAAATGTAAAATGTGTCGAATGATAAAATAAAAATGTGCGAAGGAAGAAGAGGCGAAACGTTATCGGAACTAAAGCATTTCGTATGTTTATGTATTCAGTTAGAATGTTGTAGGTTAAATAAACGCCGGCATTAATTATATAATCTAGATGCAAATTTTCTTTTAATGAACCGAGTTTTTTTTTCCTCCTCCATTTCGATTTACAAGTGATTTCAATTTTGAGTTGAGTCAGCAGCATCAAGTATCAAGCTGCATTTCTAGTGACATCCGATCAATTCGGGATAATTTACTTGAATCAGAATATTTGGTTCGAAACTAAAACTTGTTTCATCTTCAGAATTCTGAAGATTTGATCGGATAAAGGTTTCTGCCAGTCAACGGGAAATGGATAATAAGACATTTAAAAACGCTATGAATTGTTATCACCACCATGAAATGGACTCCTCAATTAAACCATAACTAAACTATAACACCTTTCATTGTTACGGTAATTCGGAGTGTTCGGCGCGTGAATACATTTAAATGATCAGCATTCAGATCTGATATGGTGGTTCGAATTAAAATTCAGTTTGCTCTTTGTATTGCTGATTCTTTCTCTGCGTTCGCATCGCATTTTTCGGGTGTTATCGAATGAATTATATTATTGTATTTACATATATTTTGGTTTCATTGACTTCTTTCTGATCGTTCGAAATGTGTGAGATACGAAAAAGCCATTTACAAAGTAATAATCATAATATTGGAAACAAATCAATTCAGCCGGAGGGAGAGAGAGAGGCAGAGAACAGTTTCGGCCGTTAAATAGTGAATGATTGAGTTTGCTCTTTCAAACGGAGTCTCGATTCCAGCATAAAAAGGTTATGTTAGCATTTATGACTAATAGATTTGTTAATGGGGTCAAATTAAGAAGTTTTTTTTCAACATTTTATATTGCATGTTTTAATGTATGAACAAATGCCGACGGTGATATTTTATTGATTGAAATGGATTAAGTTGTTTAGAAACCATTTAAATGCGTGATACTGTGTCAACGGCCGATAGTTAAAACTCATAAAATCAAAAGAAATGGAGACAAAACTACAAGATCCGGTAAATAATTGCATTCGAAACACTTGATGACATTGTAAATTTGATAATAAAGAATTAAATATTTAAAAAAATGCCTTTTTTCTATTCAAATAACGTACTCATATCGAAACTCGATAATAAAACTGAATTATTAAATTCGAAATGCATTTTTGTGTCCATTTCAATGGCATGCGATCATTTGGTATGGTCGCCGATATCAAACAAGGTTTTAAGCTTGAGTTGCGGCCTTTGTTTTTCGTTAATACCTGCCACACGTTCGGCTTACGTTTTGAAGTGTGAGCCGCAACGAATCTTCTTTTGTAAATGTTCATTATCGGTTTGTGCTCGTGCAAATAATACAAATTTTCAGCACGCAACCACTCTAACAACTCAACACGGCAAAATCCGTAATATTCTTTAGCCAAATGATTCATTTTAAGGTGATATATATTCACCGCTACTCTTTGCGCTTTCTTTTCGGTTCGCTCTTCTGTTTTCTGTCTGTGATGTGCTTT